ACAATGTAAAGGGGCCTTGTGCAAGCCCACACCATGGCCCCACTTGGAAAGTTTCTCTCTCCACCATTCTCTCCCAAGAACTCATGGATTCTAAGAGCTATATTTAGGAACATTGTACAAAGTATCTTTGACCCAAATGGCATAAGGAGAGTTGTCAAAAACTGCTGTGCCCTTGAGAACCACCTTACATGCCCAGAGCCCTTGGACTGAGTGTCCCTACGGGCTTTGTTGGTGCCCAAATGGGCAATCACCAAGCATGGAATAAAGTGCTAAAGGACAGAGGCAGAAGCCAGCAAAGTCACGGGGATGCTGTGGGAGGGACACAGATTCTGCTGATGGTGCCTGAGTCTCTCCAATGCGCCTCAGTGGTCAGGGGTTCTAAGCCTGTGTACACATGAGAATCAGAGTTGCTCCCGCCACTGTGCTGTCCAAATGCTGCCCATGCCCAAAGCACAGACAGCATGTAAACATCTTCTAGAGTTTTGTTAAAAGCTCTAACTGACACGCTAGAGCCTAGGACGAGATGTCATATGAAAGAAGACATGGGTGGGGGACCCACAGCTTCAGACAAGCCATCATGTAACTCAGAGCTGAATTTGCACTGCAGCATAGAAAGCTGGGCTGGTATAACTACCAAAAAGGTTATTATTAGGATTCACTTGCATTCTTCCATCCTGTACCAACAGATGGGTGAATGAGAGATTCACCGTGGGGTACAATTTCCCAGGACTAACGGGTGTGAAGTTGAGACTCAACACACAGAGACTTTTAGTCAAATTCTGCAGCTTGGAGGGCCTGGATCTCCCACGGGCAGGGAGGCAATGCTGGATCATTAGACAAAAGTCAAATGAGACTCCCCATAAAACAATTACGGAGGCAGCTGTGCACAGAAGCAAAGGCTGATTCCCAGCAAATGCAGAGTCCGTGGCTCCTGCTGAGCCAGAAAGGGTGCATGGTTTGTGGAATGACTTATTCTTTTATTTAGCAAACAGACACCTTTTCACTGCCTTGTGCTTCATGGTCTCAGATGCCCTGCTTGCTAAACCTGTCTCTCAGGGGAACCTGTCACCCTGAGACTGTGATTAGGCACAGAGCTGGTCAGCACCCTCTAGAGTGAAGGTATGAATAGCAAATCTGTCCCTGGGGAAAATACTGCTACCAAGTTCATCTTTCCCTTAAGCCAAAACACTTGTGGGATTTCACCATCAGTACTGTTTGTGTTTGGCTGACATTACAGATGAAGGACCACCTGGAACACTGACACAGGATGTAGCCAGCTCAAGTGCCCCAGAAAATCAAGACGGATCTATAGAAGAGTAGTCAGGAGATGCACTATACGGGTTCATCTCGGGCTCCTGGTCCCACTTCCCTTGGTGGTCTGTATTAATGACACTATTTGCACCAGGGAGCAAAAGCTACTATGACACTATGTAGCTGGTTCCAAACCAAATGAATAATAAAAACAGGAGTGTGACTTTGCCTTGGATGTCACGATTACGTAACACAGCCTTGGCTTGGTGTCAGAGGCTATCATAGCATTTACAAAGCACCCATTTCACGAGCTTGGGTAGAGAACTTCTTTTACATTAACCCACACTTTTTTGTCTTTTGGAGGCAGGGTCTCACTACACAGCTCAGGCTAGTCATGAGCTCACTGTGTAGCCCAGGATGGTCTCGAACTGACGATCCTCCTGCCTCAGCCTCCCGAGTGCTGGGATTACAGGTGTAAGCTACCACGCCTGGCTCATAATCCACATTCTTTAAATTGTCTTCTCTAAATAAAACACTGGCCTGGATGGGCCAGTGGTAGCATCATCAGGAGGGGCTAGTGTGCCGCAGAGGTTCTGGACGTGTCAGCCCTCAGACGGGGATTCTAGATGAGGAGGTGATGTTAGTTATAATGGTACAGCAACTATACAAGACATGATTGGTGCCAAACAGTGTCAGATGCACTAAAATACGTACGACACCATGGCCCCATCTTGTACTAATGCTGCACAGAATTACCAACTCTCACAACCCTCAGCCCTGACCAGTGACACTCCTAATGGAAGGCACATCAACATGCCCTGCTCCCTACCTTTGTCCTATCCCAAACATTCTCTATCGAAAGGCCTGAGACCCTTCCTGTTGCTACCTCTTTGTTTTTAATGGCCAGTTCTTTGGGAAGGGCACTTTGGGAGAAATTCAATCAAAGACAAACTTCTAAAGCAATGAACACAACAAGATCACACAAAATATACTCAAGACAATATGGTAGCCCTGGCTCAAAGGGTTTTCTTAGAGATGGGGAAACTAATGATTTGCTCCCTGTCATAAGGCTAGTCAGAGGTGGTGAGGAGTGGGGCTGCAGTGCACTGCAGTGCAGTGTCAGGTGAGACGTCCTTATCACTCAGGAGGACAGAGCAGTGCAGTGGGCAGACAATGTATCACCGTGCCAAAAATTCAGTCATCAAGATAAATAATATTGTTGTGCAATGTTTTTCTTTAAAGACATCAGAATTTTTCACAAAGGAAGGTGCAATCCTGGAGCTTGAGGCAAACTCAGTAATAACAGTATTGATATGGTTCCGATATCTTTGTTGACTGTAGATTTTTACGGCATTCATCTTGAGGTGGTCACAAGTAGGGTGTGCAGAGATGGTGCACACCAGGGGTCACCACATAGACATCTACCCCTGGGTGTGTCACAGGTGGCTACTGGATGCACACCCAGTAGGCAAGATGGGGAGGTGGTGTTTAGAAAGTGCCCCAGAGCAAAATAATTGCTTTGTTCTTTCCATTCAGTGACTTCACTGATCCGGAGACGTACGATCAATTTACTAAAGACTTTCCAGACAGAAAAATGGGACTGGTGAGCTTCTGACATCATTTACAGGAAACATTTGGATTTCAGAAATGCTACATATGGTGCCAAAAATGTTACAACCCTCAACCCATGGAGTAAAACAGTTTGATTGTTATTTGGGGTTTCTTTGTTTTTGTTTTTTGAGACAGGTTTTGATTCTCTTGCCCAGGCTGGGCTTGAACCTGTGTGCTCAGGTCATCTTCACTTCACCCTCTAGAGTAGGGACCCTGGGCACCAAGAAAATGTTTTGATTTAGGATTTTAAGGCATTAAGTTTGTACTCCAGCAACATAAACTCAAAGAACAGATTTACTTATTGATGAAGGATTGTACTACTTACACAAACCAATTCATCAACGTATACCCTTGCTAAAAAAACGGCTCTATAAAGTTTGTGGCATCGGGAGTGCAGTGGGATTCCCACCTTGAACTCTTCTCCCTCACCACCAACCTTCTCCCTTCTGATTGCTGTCTTTCCTTCAAAACCAGCTCTCACCAAAGGACGAGTCTTGAGCACCCCGGCAAATTACTGCGACAGGGATTAACATCTTAAACTACAAACCTGACGCTTAAATTAGGTATTGAGTTTTAGAGGTAGTTTATACTAAATTCCATAGACTGAAGATCTTTTTTTTTTTCTTTTGCCTCAACCTTTTGCGGAGTTAATATGGTCTTGTAGAGTCACCTGAAATCCTTCAACAAGGAAGGAGCCAGCCAGAAAGAGCTCAAAAAACTCCGAACGCTGGGCCAGTGATCATAAAGAGGTGATCATAAAGAGGTTCCTGCAGAATGCCCGAGCTGCCCCCAGGCCCTGGCCCAAGGCTGGGGATATCTTCTAGTCTGGCTTCATTCTGGGCTGGAAAGCAGGGGAAGAGGAGAAGGCACTCCACTGCCATCTCTAGGAACTAGGGACACCTCCCTGCCTCCACCCCCAACCCCTGCCCGGTTCACTTGGGTCAGCAACCGGGATCCCTTCGCACCCCAGGCACGCCCTTTCCCCGAGGCGCAGTTCCTAAAGCGCTCCTTCTCCGAGGTGCGAACCGCGCCGAGGCCGCATCTGGTGTCCCCAAAGCGATTCCTGTCGCATGTTTTCTCCCGTGGCCTGTCTTCTTTACTGATTTACCCAAAGCCGCTGAGCTGACGTCAGCATTCAGACAACTTGAGCGACTTTTGCGGTTACCCAGTCCTCAGACACGCAGCGGGCGGGGAAGCCAACCCCGCTTCCCCACCCCAGCTACAGCCCAGGAGCCGAGGGCGCGCCATGCTGGGGCGCACCCGAGGGTGTGGGTCTGATGGCTGGAGTCAGGTCCGTGGCCCAGTGGCGCTAACGGAGCCCGCGGCACGTGGAGCCCTCCCCTGGTTCCTGCTGCATTCCCAAGAACTCTGCGTTTTCCGCAGCTCGGGGACGCGCACTTTACCGCGGATCCGCTGCACAACTCTATGAATCTGAAAATCGCCAGGCGGCTGGGCTAAGCCCACACTCACACAGCACGCAGGCGTTCGCCGTGTGCATTGGGGTCGCGCGCCGGGCGGGGCCAGAAAGGTCTCGGTTATCCTCGAAACACTTGCTGGACCACGCGCAGCCCACCGAGCCCGGGGGCCTGCGGGCAGCAGGTCTGCAGCAGAAACCAGCTGCAGGCGCGTGTCAGGCTGAGGGCAGGGCCTAAACAGAGACACTGGAAGGGAGATGGCACCGAAAGCTGCTCCCAGCGAGTCCCGGAACTCCGGGGGAGCGGGGACAGCCCTCGGCGACCCGGGGGCGGCGGGATCGGGGCTGTGGCGCCGCACGCCGCGCACTTCCTGTACAACGCGCACCGCCTTCCATCACGCCGCACTCCCAGAGCCTGCGTCTGTGCCAGGCCCGGCCCCTGGCGGTCGCTCCTCTGCCCCCCGAGACTGTGGCACGGCCCAGAGCTGTCTCTGGCCCTCCTGGCCCCACGGCGTTACGGGCGCTACCTGCGGCGGGCAGAGCCGAGCGATCAGCAGCCAGGACTTGTGCCCACAGCCACGCAGTAGCCCAATTGCGAGGAGCTTTCGCCTTTGCACCTCCTCTTCCCCTCCTGCCCTCCCTCTCGCGCGGAGAGGACCGCCCCGGTTCCAGGCTCCCGGGTGCTTTATTCTGCGGCCGAGGGTCATGCAGTCAAATACGGACCGTCTCACGCTCTCCACCTAGACTCAGGCACCAGAGCGCAGTCTTCCAAATTGTTGTTTTTAACTGCACCTGCCTCGGAGATTACCTCCGGGAAGCTGTGGGAGGAGCCGAGAGGGTGGAAAATGCTGCCTTGCTTTGCAAAAGGAAGAAAACTTTGTCACCCAGCAGGAGACCGCTGCCACGCGTAACCAGCACAAGCGCGGGCTTCGGCACCGATTTTGCACCCGATGGTTCCGTAGGAGAAAGTGGGCGCCGAACTCCGCGCTCTCGGGACTCCCAGCACCTGGGTGGTGTGCCGCGAGTTCCCTGCTCCACCCCCTCCCCGCGGAAGCCCCACGCGGTGCCTTCACGGGGGAAAGACAGTCATAAAGAGCGCGTGGCCCGGGACCAACCCCAGCGGCCGGACGAGGCAGGGAGGGGACCGAACCCCAGGGGCGAGTCCCCGGCTTAACTTCTGGTTAAAGTTATGGGAAGCGCGGCCATGGACACCAAGAAGAAGAAAGAGGTTTCCTGCCCCAGAGGGAGTGGCGGCAAGAAGAATCCCAGCCAGAAGAGGCGATCGCTGCGAGTGCACATTCCAGTGAGTCCCGGCCCTGCGGTGGCTTCGGGCCGCGGCGCCTAGGCGGTTAACGCGGGACGCCTCGCGCGCGCCGTGCGCGCCCCCAGCCCGTCCCTCTGGCGGCGGCGGCTGGGGGGAGGGGACAGGGCAGGGCCGGAGCTGATCGGCGGATCTGAGGCTGGATCTTGCTCCCCACCCTCTGGCGGCGGGATTGGAGACTGTAGGGGCGGGGGCGGCTGCGGAGGAGCAGGGCCGCGGGGCGCGCTCCCGGGCCCCCGGGCGCGGCTGGAGCCCTCTGGGCGTGGCCCCAGAGCCAGATTGGTGCGAGTGCCGGGGGCGGTGCGTAGGGTTGTTTTGCAGAAAAAGGACGGTGTGGTCCGAGCTTGCGGAGGGGGAGGGAAGAGGGGGCTGCAGAGGACGGAGTCGGACGGAGTCGTCTCCCCATTAATTTTCTCATGTACGTATCTGGGACCTGAGAGGGTCCTCTTTGCAGCCATTTCCTTGGCCAGATTCCTGGAGCAGGTTTTGGGCCTCTGTGGTATTTGGGGGTTCGGGGCTCCCTAAACCGGGCAAGACTGCCTCGAACTTCAGCCTTAGCTACACCAGCAGCTTAAGGTGGACTTTTGGCGATATCGATCGATCTTCGTCTAACCAGAGGGAGCGGCTAGCGGGGTCGTGCGCCCACCCAGCTCAGAAGCCCTATGCCGCTTGTCCTCTTCTCTGACCGGTAGGGTGGGGTGGTGGGAGGTGCGTCTGCGGGCGGTGCTTATCTGGACTCCAAGGGTGCGCTGCCCCTCACCCCCGTCACACCCTTCGCCACGACCAACCCAGTAAATGCTTGTCGGAACACACGTGCTGGCACACCCCCGGACGAGCGTGCACAGACCGAGCACGCGCACAGATCAGAGGGCTCCAAGGAGAAAAATGTGTTCTCTCACCTACATGGTGAGAGCTGGCGTGTTGGTAGCTGGTGACTCTCTTTCCTTAGGCGTTTTCCTCCTGCACCTTGCTGTGTGAAGGCCTTCCTTTAGCGCCTCTCCCACCCAAAAGTTCCCTCCCTGTGGGTGCATGTATCACACAGATGTGGGAGGGGAGGGGTCCAGGGGTCACGGCCAGCCCTTCCGGTCCCAGTGGAAGTCCAAGGAGCGGGAGACTGGACTCACCTGGCTGCTGTATGGCCACCATGATGGTGACACGCAGTAATAAGGGTTTGATGGAAAACATTAAAAGTTGGATGTTGCTACTAAAATCTCTGTTTAACGGTGATCATTTATTTCACCAGTTTGTCTCATTTGTCGAATGGGGAAAATACCCATTTTGCCTGCCTTGTTACATGAATGTTGAAATAAAGTAATTCGTGGTAAAGGCATTACGATTTTAAGCATAATATACATGTATAACTACTCCATAGATACCAGGCCACCAAATTGTAAAAGGCAACAGAGGAGGGGAGAGAAGGTTGTAGTGACATTGTCCTATGGATGGGCCATCTGGAGCAGCTTGTCACAGACGCCACCTGTGTGCATGTGCTTATGTGTGTACACACAGCTTTGTGATCATGGGCTCGCGGGTCGGTGCTGGTGCTAGTGTAGGACAAAACCCAGAACCAGTGACAGCGATGACAGTGAGCATCAAAAACTCGTGTTGTAGTTGGAACACCAGGGCCGCCCTTGCAGCCAAGGGTGACACGGCAGCTTTTTACAATATTCTCAGCATCCTGTCCTCCCTGAATGTGGCACTCTCTCCACAGCAGTTGAGTGAGTGTCAGTCCCTGTGTGCCCTGTGCTTTCCTTACACTGAGATCCAGGGCCAGAGCAGGGGCTTCTGCCCTGGTCCTCACTAGGCTTGCAGTTGCTAGGGGGACCAAGGTGTCACCCACCTCTCACCTAGTTCCGTAATTATCTGAGAGGTGATGCCAGTAAATGATCCAGAGTTATAAATGACAGTAGCAGCTTGTAGAAGTGAGGAAGAGCTGGTGGGGAGCCTGTGTGTTTCTTCTTTAGCTCGGAGGGAGAGATGGCCGCTTCCAGGATAGTGAGAACTTGTGTCTCCTGGAGGGAAGGGCATAAGGACCAGGTTACAATGCAGTGGGTTCCTCTCAATTGAGACAGGTCAAGCAGGAGCTTGAGGGGGGGGCTACTAGATTTACTGTGTAGGAATACAAAATGCCCAGTGAGATTAGGATTGCAGGCAAATAACATACCATTTTTGTTTTTCTATTTTATTTTTTTCAAATCCATTTTATTGAGGGATAAAAATAATAAGAAGAAAAAAACTACCACAAAATTTCAAAACATGTCATTCAGGAGCAATCATGGTACATGCACTGCACATTGTCATCCCCAAATCATTCACCCAGAACTCAAGACGGCTGCCTTCAATTAACATTCAATATTTTAGCACAAGCGTGGCCCATGCCATGTTTGGGCTGTGCTGCTTTTTCCCACTGTTTCTGGGAAATTTCAGTTTCACTGGGTGTCCTGGGTCTTCTCAGGCAAGCCTACCTTGGGGCCAGGCCCAGGCATGAGGAATTCCACAAAGAGATGTGGGGAATGCTGTGGGTGCCCTGGCCCTGAAGTCTGTGGTCACCCTGACCTCACTTACAGCTTTGGGGTGTAGCCTTGCACTCTCATCCTTCTCTTTGCCTGCAGGAGTCCTTCTGGCCATGGCCACTGGCTCAGCCCAGTTCAGGGACAGCTGAAAGGGCTGGGGTGGTGCTGAGGGACCATTGGAGGGGTATAGTTGTGGAACAGTAGCCAACCCCCCTTTCCTAGGTGGGACAGTTCTGAGTGGGTTCTGCAGGACATCTCTGGCTGGGGTTGGACCCTCCTTAGTCACCCCATGGCTCTCCTAGCTTCTCTGCCTCTGTCTCCTCACTTGTGAGGAGCTAAAGTACCAAACCTGAGTTTTTTCCAGGTGTCATTGTGGGGAGGGACTAAATGGAGACTATTAAATGCAGGCGAGAATTACAGTTCATGGGAATGACTTGGAAAGATGGAGTAAAGGAATGAGGGCTCAGGGTTGGGGAATGAGTACCTGAACTAGGCAGAATGTGAGAAGAACTGGGAAGGGCAGGTGGGGGAGCTCTGGAGGACGGGTGGGCCTTCTGCCTGGCTGATGGTGAAGGAGCCAGAAATAGAGCTGACCTTGTTAGGAGATGGAGATGATCAGTGGAATGACCTGTTCTTGGGGAAATCAGTGAGCTTAGTCATAGCCACGGGGTCGCTGAGCCAAGAACAGCAAATCTGTGGGGCAATCGAATCCCCCACATCCCAGGAATGTCATGTCCAAAGGTAACTTGGATTCCAAGGAGCTGTTCCTTAAAGACTGTGGCTTTGGCAGCCCTGTGAGTATGGGACATTTGATAATGTCCAGTGGCATTTGGCTGTTAAGACCTCCAGAGTTTCTAGGGACCACAACCTTTTTCTTCAATTGGACTGAGTCGTTTAAGGCACCTAGGTTCCACCCCCATGTCTGGTGCAGAGAAGGGCGATGGCTTCTGGTCTTGGAGAAATCACTGAAAACCTCCTCCCTTGGACTGGAATTGTCTTTAGCCATCTTTATCTTCACCCCACTTCCAACCAATGGCCCCCACTGTGTTAGGAGAATCCATTTTAGGGGATAACCCAAGGCTGATGAGTTGTAGCAGAGCAGAAAAGGCAGACCTAGAATTCTCAGCTAACTTAGCAGTTGAATTAGAAGGTGGATGTCTGGGTACCCAGGATGGGTCCAGCTGAGAGTGCCACCATGCCTGGTGTTAGCCTCATTGTCACCCAGCATGAGTCACCATCATGGCAGACCTCCAGGGTCTTGTGGGGGTTAGGGTTAGGGTTAGGGTTAGAAGATTGGAAGAGAGGGCCACTGAGTGTAGATTCCTATCCAAGGCTACAGTAGAGAGGTGCAAACAGGCGCAGTGGTTAGAGCTGTGATGTGCCAGTCTCTCAGCTTTGCCTTCTTATTCCCCAGTGCCAAGGAAGAAGAATAGTGGACAGGCCAGGCATGATTTGAGAAAGTCAGTCCCTGGAAGTGTGGGCGTGGCGCTCTGCCAGCGCTTTGGAAGCCAGTGTATTTTTTCTTCTTTTTTCCCCCTCTTTTAGCAAAAGCAGCTTCTTTAGGATTGTTGAAATCTATGCATCTCAATGACGTATTTCAATCAGTGACTTTTTGGCTGGCACATCATGATCTTTGGAACTGTCTAGAAGCCATAACAGAACTGGCAGCCAAGGAACAAGGGAGGGAGGGGTTCCTGGTGAAGGACCCAGGGCAGAAGCCTGTGGGGACACTGGGGCTGGCAGAGGGATTCATTTCTTCCCTGCTGAGCAGGGCATTAGTGACAGAGTGCACATGTCCTTTGCCCTCTTGGGGGAAGGAGCTCCAGAAATCCTTCAGTCACTGGAGACAGACTAAAAATAGAGCCAAGGACAGCTGGTCGGTCACAGAAGGTTGTGGAGACAGGATGGGTCTGGGCGGTCTCTTGCTCCTGTGTCCCTGGCCGCTGTGTGTCCGCCAGGGAAGCCACAGATGATGGAGGCCACAGTGCCGTCCAGGCTGGTGATGGTCTGCAGTCTCGCCGGTGCTCAGCTCTCCCAGACAAGGGTGGGAAGGGGGCTGTGTTCTGCCCCCAGGGCTGGAGGACCAGGGGACTCTATGCCCTCTGTTGTCCCACTTCTGAAATTCCCTGGGTGGGAGCCCCAAGGAAGTAGGGGGTTGGCGGGGTACCACACAGTGGAGGTGTCAGCTTTGACCCTGCCTTGAGCTTGGTGTGTATGACCTTTTTGTTGGGTTAGGATTTAGTTGGCATTTTTCCAAGTGTGGTTCCTGAACCAGCTTAGGTAGAAACACCCAGTATTTGCTTAGAATATGAAATCTGGAAGTCTCAGCACAACCTCAAGAGTCAGAATTGCTACAGTTCTGGGTATTTATTAAGTTCTTAGGGGATTCTTAGGTCTACGGGGGCTAAAAAGAATTGATTTCCAGCTTCCTTAGTGGAATACTGATCCATTCCTCCCATCTCCATCAGC